GATATCGAAGAGCTGAATGCCTCGGCCAGCGGCCGGGGAAACACAAGCCAAAGGGGGTATGGGTCAGCGGGACCTCCCCCCCGAAGAAAACGATGCGGTTGCCCTTGAACCAACCTGAAAAGGACGGCCTCAACAAAAAATAACCAATATGGATGCGTGTTCTGAATCCGTTTGGCGGGCCCAAGAATGTTATGCCGAAACTGCCTCCGAAAAGACAAATCCCCGGCGCTTTCCAAGCGCCAAAACGAGGCAAAAACACGCCGCGTCACGTATGGACGTGTCCACGGAGGCAAACTCCAACGTATCCACGAAGTCCTGGTAGTCCAGCCAGTTGGAGAAGCGGTCGCGCGTCCTTGGCTGTGAAATGTCGGGTGCCAACTGGTCCGGACAGGGTTTCTATAGAAAACCCTCAAGGTAGACTCGAAGCTTCCCATATCTAATAAGTCACGAGCAAAACCAAAATCTTTGGAATCCCAGCCGCATGTGGTTGATCAAAAGGTCCTTTACATGGGGCGACCATTAGGAAACCACCAAAACAAATGACGCTCACCACTAAATGGGAAAAGTTACCCATGGCCATTTCATGCGAAACCGCCGGATGCGACGCTTGGGCTTAAGCGCCAACGTGGGGGAAGAATCTGGCGAAGTGGAGTTGGCGTGGAAGTGTTCAACCCCTTTCGCCCTGGGGCCCCCGGCACGGTGACATCCAGGCTGGCCAGGGCCTTTTCCAGAACCTGGCAGAGTATTTATTCATCTCCCAAACAGAAAAAACAACGATTTGTGGTCTCCCAAGAGTTCCCTTCCTTGCAAACCCTTCCTGAACCGAAGCCTCAATCATCCGGATAACAGTCCAGCAACCGCTCCATTGAATCTTCCGAACCCTTCGGAAGCCATTTCAGAGCCGCTCCGAACCACCCCCAGAGCGTATCTTTGTACCAAGGCTTTCAAATGGGCTGTTTTGAACAGGTCCTTGAACTGCACTATGCCCTCGTGCCCAGGGGGGGGGTTCTTAGAGGGTGCAATGGGGAACCAAAAGACAACCCGGCGTGGACATCCACCGGAAACTGCGGTTTGAGGTGGGGTTCTCTGCCAACGGTTGACTGCCCTTTCGTTTGACGGGGGGATGTCCTTTCTTCAGGGTTGTTCGCCTCTTGTGCGTTGTTCTAGACTAAAAAAGGAACATCCACACTTCGGATGGGGTCCCTGTTCTCTACGCCGAACAAACATGCATCTCTTGAAATCCGAACTAAAGGAGCATCATCGCTGGTGAGTTCGCTTAACACTCCCCCAGTGGGTTTGCCTACATGGGATTGAGGTCGTATGATGTTGCGTTATGTTTGTGTCAGTATTCATCTGTAGAGCATGTCAGGGCCAATGTGTGGGTGTGTGTCAGCTGGGCAAAATTCGCTCTGCAAAAGAACCTGAAAAAAGAGGGGGGTGGTGTGCTTTCATTCGTTGTCTTGTCGGGCGTGTGTCAAAATAGGGGCAACCCCCATCTTTGGTTTCCCTCGAACCCCCGAAAAAGCCTCAAACAACACCACCCCCTTTCGGGGGGTTTGCCAGAAGCCCGACCAGCCAAGCGGTGGAGAGGGAAGCGCCAGGTGGCTTAACCTGGGCAAATCTGGAGCAAGCAGCCCGGGCGAAGGATCTTGTGCCTTGTTCTGGTACTTCAGGTCCCACTTCTCCAAGCCGTCGGGCAGAGTTTTCAGGTCGTCCTCCTCGCCTTGCGAAGCGTCACCCAGCGTTGGCACGATGCGGAAAAACGACCACCTGTTATTTTGGGAGGTGCCCCTATTTTGAGACCAAATCACGTGAACTGACAGGCGGCCCACATGACAAAACGCCAACGGTTCGCCTAGGTTTCACAACACCCAAGTGGCCCTGAGAAACCACCAACACCCAAGTTGATGGAGAAAAGGAGAGGACAACCCCAAGAAGAATTCTACTCTCTCAGTGCGCTCCCTATAAAATCCAAAGGAGGTGAGATCTGAAGGCAAACCTTGAGTTGCACCCAACTCCACGTCCTGCACATCCGGCTCCTGTCTTCCTGTACAAAACCTGAGCCCGTTTGTTGCTTTTCCGACACCTTGCGAGCTTCATACACCATGATCTGTACAACACCAAACATGCTGGAACCGTGTCGGTGAACCAAGCAAGTACATCGACAGTGCACCAACTATCGCAATTCAGGATCGTTCACCAGAGAAGGCCGGTGAGCTCATGGTGGGCAAACTGCAAAAAATGCAAGCTTTTTGGGGAAAAGACTTCTTCGGAATAAATCCCTATTTTTGAATTCTGGGCGAGAAACATCTGTCGCCATTTGCCGTGTGGCGTTTTGCGCACTCCCTGCATGGGCATAAGAAACTAGGGTTCGGCCGCCTTCCCCAAACCATCAGTAGATTGACGCCTAAAACGGGCGCTGTTCTTTTTGGTCTCCATTGAAACCAACCTTGAAAAGGGCGCCCTCAAAAAAAAACACCGGCCCACACCCCAATCCCTTTGGCCACGCGCCAACGCAGCCCAAGCACTGATGACCTTCACCACTGCGCGCCTCAGAGACGCTCGAAATGGGGTGGGTGCCAGGGGAAAGGGGTTGCCCCAAAGGGTTTTGTCTCACGCGGACATGGTCTCTCTCTGGCTTCTCGCTGGTTTTCCTTTGGTCGCCTTTTAAGAAAGGGTACCCTCAAAAATTATACGAACGGGCGACACAGGGACTACGCTATCATTGGGCCACAAAATATGGGTGCGTCTCACATGAGCCACCTCTCCAGATGGCTTGCTTTTGAAATCGTGTTTGTGGGGCCACCTCTCCACGTGTAAACATCACACATGTCCGAATTTGAGGCGCCACAGTCCACTTCACAGACATGCGGATTCAGGATGAATCAGCCAACATTTCAGGTGACTATTCAGAATACACAACAAATGGGAGACCAGCCATTGGCAGAGCTCCCCACTGTGGAAAAACATACCCACATAGGCTTCTTCCCCTGGCAAACCAGCAAACGGAACCCCCCACAGATGAACGCCAGGGCTCTTGATGGCCACCTCCGTCTTCAGCGCCGTCTCCGCCAGCTCCTTCTGCTTCCGCAAGGTCTGCTGTCTGCTGACCTCGGCGTGACGTCCGCGAAGGGACTCCAACCAGTTGCTCGTGAAGACAATTGACACTCAGGAGAAAAATGTCAAGGTGCCCAAGGAGTGAGGGTCCGTAACACAGAAAGGACCACATCAGGCAAACGGGAACTCCAGCTGAAAGTACCCATCTCTCAGCTTCTGCGGGTTGAAATATGTGAGAGCAAACACCATCACCTGTGACAACATGTGGCATGATGCGAAACGAGGTTGCAGTATTCTTTTTGTGCCATATCCCACTGCATCACTCCTTGACAACCCGACTGGTCAGCAGCTGCGACCTCACCGCCTGTGTTGTTGGACGCTTGGTCGCTGCGGGTGCGAAGCAGGTCGTGTCGGGAGCTCGTTGGAGCTTGCGGAACAGACTCAAGAACTGGAAAAAGGCCCGCCAAGAGCAACTGATATTGTGCGCTTTAAACGATAGAGGTGAGTTGCTGCACCCCGACTTCAAAGCAAGACATTGATAATATCAGGCTGAAATTAATAAGGCGCGGGCGTGAACACGTTGTGCGCGGTGTGTTGAGGGTACTTAAGCAACACACATGGCGTAAGGGTGCTCCAGCAGCCTATTGCCTGCAAGCAAGTATCCCGGCGGGGATGCCGCACTGTCACATCATTTCGCCCACTTACTAAGCACGGGGAGGGGACGTGACGCCTCAAGTGCTGTGTTAAAACCTTTTTCATCTTGCGAGGGGAGCATACCAACGGCGCAGAGTGTTGCTCACACCACCTAAACACCACAACACCAGGACACCGCCAAAGACCATCAGTGCAGAACAGAAGTAAAACACTTTCTGCGCAACAGAGCATTAGACCCCATAGCGAACCCATTTGATCTCGTCCAGGTTTTCTCTTCAGCTTCGCCGGGTCTACAGACATGACGCTCTCGCAAACGCTCGTTGATCAGAAATTAGCTCCCTCTCCCCCCCCAAAAAAAAAACTTCCCCCCCCCCCAAAAAAAAAAAAAAAACACTTTGACAGGCTGGGAAGTCATGACAGTGATGAGTTTCGCAAACAATTCATCATTTTCATGATAAGCCACACGATAGCATGAGTGAGGCTATATTGAACATCAATGCAGGAGTCCTCCCTATCCGCCTTCTCTCCTCAAAACCGTCCGGCTGAGAGACGTGCGTCTGCCACCTTCAGCCTACCCTACAACACAGTTGCTTGTATCTGCAAAAACCAAACAATGTCAATTCCTCACGCTAGCAAGTGGAAGAATATCCCTCAGCCCATGCCCAACATGGCTCAGAGCGGTTTGTTCACTCGCTGGGGCAGGCACGTTGTCCAGGAAAATTGCCATGATCAAGTGGAAAAGCCCGACCTGAATCAAGTTGCGAGTGGCACGGCCTGGCAAAAAGAAACACCTCAGCAGCGCCAAGTAAACGCAATGCTGATCGGAATGGGTTCTCATTGCAGCCTCGTCTGGCATAGCGCTTTGCTGCCACTCGTCATAGTCTCATAGGCCAACTGCTCTTTGCTAGCTGCGCTAGGCCGGTGAAGATGTTCCTTTGACCATGATGACCCTCAGCAACTAACCTTGTCAAGCGGCCGAAACCAGCATGAAGACCAAGATGTACGAGATCATGAAGAGGCCTGCAAATTTGATTAAGATGGTTTTGTGGATGGCAGTAGGGCCGGGGAAGCCGGTTGACGGAAGTTCAAAAATATAAGAACTATAGTTCTCTTTCTCTTTCTCTCGCGTTCTCTCTTTTTCTTTCTCTCTCGCCTTTCTCTCTCTCTCTCTCTCTCTCTCTCTCTCTCTGTATCACTTTCTCTTTATCACTTTCTCCTTGTCTCTTTCTCTGTCTTTGCGTTTTTCTTTTTCTTCCCCCTTCCACTTCCACTTTCTCTCTCTCTCTCTCTCTCTCCCTCCGGCAAAGGCGGCCCACCCCTTCCCCTTCCCCCTTTCTCTTCTCATCTGTGTCAGTATCTTTGTCTTTCTCTTTGTCTTTATCTTTTTCTCTCTTCTTGCTCTTCTCTTTCTCGTATCTTTTTCTTTTTCCCTTTCTCCATGTTCTTGCCTCTTCTCTCTTTCTCTCTCTCGCAATGTTCTCAATTTTCTCAATTTTCGCAAACTTCTCTTTCTCTTCCACTTTCACTTTCTCTTCTCTTTCTCTACGTATCTCTGTCTGTCAATCTATCACTGTATATCTGTGTATCTAACTATCTATCTAGACACCTGTTCATTTAGGCTATGCGTCACCAGCAAGCCTAGCCATCCATCTGTCTATCAATCGACCTATCCATCGACTTGTCTACCTATCTGTCTGTCTATCGAGATCCGGCTGACTATCTATCCAGTAGCTCTCTTTGCGCTTTCTCCTGCCGTGATATCTGTACCTGACCTTGCGAGAGCGAGGCGCCTGCAACGAAATCATCTGTACCTGACATCGAGAAACCGCCGCGCGCCGCGAAATCTGTACCTGAAAGCGCTGCGCTGGTCACAAAATCTGCACCTGACTTTGCAAGCCTGTCATGAAATCTGCACCTGGCATTGGCTGCCACAGAATCTGCGCTTGAACTTGCGAAAGAGACCCGATTGCCACTACATCTGCATATGACAGCTCGCACGTCCCTGCCAATAGAATTTGCAACACATCCGCGCCAGCATTGCCAAGGTGCTGCGCCTGTCATGCCTGAGTCTGCGAAAAGTGCTGCATCTGCCAAGAAATACTAGGCTGCCAGCTGCCAAAGTGTCGTGCCCGTCACGAGATGAACACCCATCTAGCAAAGCGCTCCGCTCTTTACGCCAGGTTTCCAGAGTGCTGCGCCTTGACACAACCCAAGTCGCGAAAAGTGCCAGCGTCCTTGTCAAGGGTCCTGGGTCCGAGACCTTTCCGAGCCCGTCCCGAGCCTGTCCCGAGCCCGCCGTCCGTCAGGCGTCGCAACCGATGTACCTTTCAGCCATCCGAAGACGCTGAAACCCGGACTCGTTGTTGCGATTTCTATTCCCGAGCGCACTCACTCTTTCTTTCATCTTGTCTGTGCGCAAATCTGCCAAATTAACACCAGGACACCGAAGTTCCTCTGAAACCTCCTTTGATAATTGGGCTACGGACAGGTTTAAGGTTGGCGTAGGCTTGAATTTATGCTTAGTGTGAGTGTTGGATGGAACTCAACCCAAAGCTGCACAAGCCAACAGCTGATGCACGCCCTTGGAAAACTCAGGATTCAACTCCTTTTAATTCGATTCCTTTTGGCGATCCGAGCTGTTGAGGTGGCAGAAAACATTGCCAAAATCCCCATTTGGCCAAAGCCTGTTTTGGCACCCAAAACATCAGGTTTGGCAGTCAAATGAGTCATAATCAACAGCTGTTGTTGAAGGAGTCTGTCCAACACCTACAGCAAGAATCGAAAAGGTGTGTTGCTTGCCGCACTTCTTGTCAACGGGCCTGTCCCACACTCACCCTCTCTACAGCTTGACATGGACCCCACATCAGCACGATATGGGCAAACTCCAAAAGCCACCATTTTAAGTTAGCAGGGGAGTAAGCTTCCACTCGTAGCTGTTTCTTCCTTGTCTTCACCTCTGCAACTCCCGCCTCCGGAGTTTGCGAAGGTGTTCCTCCGGAGCTTCTCCGGCAAGGGCGTGCCATCGTAAGCGGTGCCTCGGGAGGGGACGCAAGCAGATATATCAAAAGCCAGGAAACCTTCTGTTTGATGAACTGGTGATATGACTTGGTTATTTGCTAATCTGATTCTTGCCCATGGTTGTGGAAAATAATCCTGGTGTAGTGGTGTGTTTTCCCGCCATTTGTGTGACTGCTGTATTACTTAAAAGGAGAGGTCCTATGACAGAAAGTGGTTCTAAAAGCTCTCCTTGCTTTGCTTGCTTTTGTCGAAACCCAAAGAGTCAAGGCCCCAAGGGCGGGTTCCATTTGGCTGTGGAATTCATGCTGCCCAGTGGGCAACATGCAGCAGGCACAAGGTCACATAGGCGATTGTCAACTTGCGTCCTCTGAAGTATTTTCGAGCAACTTGGGTAGTGTTTTTGCACAATGAGAGCTTCCGAAATTTGAGAGTTTTCAAGTCGTTTCCTTTCAGTTGGCGTTCAAAACTACCCAGGAAGAGTTCCCAACTTTCGTGACAGACCTAATATGAGTCATAACCAAAACCCAATGAGAATCAAAAGACCGGTTCGTTCCGCAGTGGGGCAAGGGGATTGTCCCGTACCCTTCAACAGGGCTATGTGCCTTTGGTTTCCCTCAAAGACAACGTACCAAAGCTAGGTGCCCCTCAAAAAGAAAAAAAAAAACATATGGCCACTTTTTGAGCGGCCTGACCGATCTATTTGTGTTAGTCCCCCTGGCAAAAATCACACGTATACATATCAGTTATGGGTAATAGTTGTTCGTCCCCAAGAGGATATGTGAGAATGGGGTAGTCCCGCGGTTTCTGGGAAGTTTGGGCTCCCCGCCATCTCGAAAGCAAAAGTACTCTACCAATAAAATTGTCTGCTGCCCATAAGGCCCCCATCCGTCCCCATTTCGGGAAGGGTCGAAATCGATCCTGTTGTGAAGGCTCCCGAAGCTCATGCTGAGGGCTCCGCATCCTTCAGTGAGGCATCCTTAGGCATCAGATGCAACCAGTCTGGCAAAGGCGTTTCCTGACATTTCGGCAGGTTTTCAAGGAAGCGAATGGTACTAGAATGTGCCCCACCGATACATCCTGAGACCCGGGTTACTCCACCCGAAAATGGTTCCCAGGTTAAGATGTTCAGCTTTCCTTTTAGAAGTCTCCGACGACTGATTCATGTGAATTGCCTAGAATCCAAACAGAAGATGAGGCATGTTGACATGTTGACCATCGGCTGCGAGCTCACGCTCTCCCCATGTCCACCTGCCGGTTTAGGGCCTATGACCGCTCTCTGAGCACTAGGGCGGCCCATCAGTCAATCAGTCAGCTCCGCTCTGCGAGACTCGGAGTGGGTGTCAAACACTTGCTGCTTGCATGCGTTGCACTTCAGAGACAAGTTTGCGAGCCAGTAGTAAAACAAATGTCGACCACACATAGCTTAACCATTAATCGGGGAATCAAATGAGCCCAAATCACTTTCCCCAAAGAAATTTGAGTTTTGCGGGAAACTGAGGTCCCCCATGTGCTGCCCAAGCTATCGCTATGCGAGCAACTTTCTCAGTTGTCAAGTGGGATCCCGCTCCTTGGACGAACCCAAAAACGGCCCTACCCCACCCGCAAACCCAGCCCAAACCTATCCTAACCATTGAAAACGACCGTCAAAAACCGCTACCGAAAACGACCACCAAAAACCACTGAAAGGGAAACGAAAACGGGATCAACAGCTTCAGCCAGGCAGCGAAAGATGGTGAACATACTCGCTGGCAGCGTGGAGAACTCATCCTGCCGAGGAAAACCGTGCGGCATGAAAGTGAGCAAGGCCTGTTGGTCAGAGAAAACGTGACAAACGAGAAAACAGCGCGAAAATACGAGAAATACCGAGAACAGGACAAAAAGAGTAAAATAGCCATACTGCGAATGGAAAAAATCCTGCAGTTGGGAGACCATGAACGCTGGGACAAAGACGCAGAGTTCTGTCCATCTACGGTGTTGCGTAAACTGAACTGGGATTGAGATCGAAGACCAGTTGGGAGGGTGCCCCTAGTTGGGAACACGTTCATCCTTTGATGATGGTTTTCCTTTCACGGATGGTTTTCCAAAAAGAAGCTCATGGCAACCAGCCATTTTTGGGGTACCATGTTTGGAAACAAGATCAAACATCTCGTGACACCTCGCTTTGCTGCTTGCAGCGTGCGTGCACCCCCCCTCCCCATCTTCCACGGTAGCTGTTGAATCACAAGTTCCACGTTTGAGCCCATTCGAGTAGATCTCAAGCAGAAATTCGGGGGTTGTTGTGTTGGTTTTCCGTTCATTCAACCTAAAAGAAAGGTCCCGCAAAAAAACAGACACACACACACACACAAACACACACACACACACAGGGAGGGCTGCCCAAGCAAGAAGCACAAGCCCATTCGTCCGCACCTCCGCGTCCGCTATGGTCGCCATGCCGATCCCAAAGACGTAGATCAGCAGCAGGAGGAGCACCTCGAGAGGTGCAACAAACCGCTCTACGCAACTCCAGGCGCAAAAGGCGTGCGGTTTTGTCCTTTTAGGATCAGCTGGGTGGTTAGTTTCGCTTGGGGTAGTCAAAAATGCCACCCCGGTGGCTGTTTCCGGGTACCTTGTCGGGGTTGGTTTAAAGGGAAACCTTGTGTTGGTGCTTGCTTAAAGGTTTTGAGCACTCGCCATTTTGAGGGGGTTTCTATTTTGTGACATACCAACAAAGGGGACCCAACCTGTTTTCTGGACGCCAAGCCCACCAAGGAGTAGGTACAGTAGATTCTCAAAAAAACAAATGGCGGGGTTGGCAAAGCAGGGTCACTGGCATGAACACGAAACCGGCAACTCCGGTTTGCACCCTCTGGGATGGATTCAACTTGTTCATTGATTTTCGGCACGAAGCACTTATCAACAGGACTTCATCCATCAACTTTACCTTGCCAAATCTCTTGAAAGTGGCCTTTCCAAAAGGGTGCATTCTGAAACCACCTCTCAAGTTGCGGAAATAGAGCTGCAAAACCCTTGGCTTGATGCTCCGTCGCTCAGCTAATTCTTGGGATGCCTTTTGTTGCGTCCCTGTCCTGCAAGTGAACCAACCACATCCACCCACTAAATCCCTGGTAAACTGCAGCGAACAGCAGGGTTCCCTACTTGCAGAATTTAGGGCATCCCTTTTACCCAAGAATCCTCCATTTTGCCTGGTGAACCGCCGCGTTCTTTTGTAGACTGAGCTTGCCGCAATCGCCCAAAAGAGCACGCGCAAGCCAGAGAGCACACCCAGTAGGATCCTGGGATGGGTTTGTTCAACATGCCAAGATCGTCATACGGATGGAATCGCACAAACTTCGCAAGGATCACCGTTAAAGAAAACAAAGAGGACTGATTTGTGTGGAGTGTCAGAACATAACAAAGACAAAGTCATGATCAGAGGAGAATCATGTTAGTAATGATTTTGCCTCTTGTATTGCTCAATAGCTCTGGGAACCCTGAAAAAGTCATGGCCTAAATGGTCCCCAATGGCCTCTGACAGTTTAACAGTCACCAGACTGCTTGACATCACTCACATGGGAAGCTTATGTCCAGGGTGTTCCAACAATTCAAGATTCATGGTGGTCTGAGCCACGATCAAAATATGCGGTTCTCCGAAGGCACATGGGAAATGGTGAGCGCTTTGTTGTGTCTTGCTTTGTTGTGTCTTGCTTTTGCCAGGCTCAAGTCCCCCTGTCCCGAGCCCAAATCACCTTAGACGAATTGGGTGATTTTGTCCAAACCTGACGGGAGAACCCTCCCCCCCCAGAAGATAACCCCAAAAAGGGATAGCCACGAAGGCCGCACTTGAGGCATGGAAGTCTCTGAAGCCGCAGATTTGTGGGTTTGAGACCTCGAAGATTGATGTGCCAGGAGTACTGCGGTACATAGCTCCAGGCTTGCTTCTGTGACATGTTCCTGCACTCTGGAACCTGCAGCTTAAACGGTGCCTCTTTGAGTAAAAGGTCTGACTTTTGGTGGGTAAATGTCCAAAGGTCCCCTTTTGTTGCACCTGCCATGAAAGCCAGGGCCAGACTGCACGGAACCTTCATAAAGAGCCATTTGCTAAGTCGCAGGCCACAGGAATACACAAAAAGAAGCTGATGGATGCTCAGGTAGGTGTTCGCCCCAAAAGTGATCCGGATTCCCTCTATTGGGTACTCCCAAAAAGAATCAACCAGGGGTTCATTCATCCTGGATGCCCATTGCAGGGGAGGTAGAGGTCGGTTCAGAAAACTAAAAACCCATGCAAATCCCCGGCGAAACCCGGCGAAAGCTCGGCTCGGCCAAGCGTCAGCCGCAGATCCGCGAAGATGTCGAAGCTCAGCGTGCGGATCACCCGCAGGAGGCGCGCAAGGCGGGCCACCTGTCACTCATGGGGTGGGAGGAGCAGCAGCAGCAGCAGGAGGAAGAGGAACAGAACCCCGTTACCCATGTATCATACATGTATATATGCATGTATGTAAATGATCAAATATACATCCGGGATGTCTTAGGGGTTGAGCGTAAATGGGCGTTTCCTAAAATAGGGCATGCCTCCAACAAACTCCCGGCAAAAAACAACAAAAACAAGAGAAAATAATACGCCCAGGTGGTATCTCTAGCCCGGACTTCTGAGGCGAGCCCCAGCCGACCCCGCTGCTCTGGAGAGCTGCTCTGGTCACCCTAGCTTTGAGCGCATGGGGGAAAACGTTAAAGCAGGCGGACCCCAAACGTGCCTATGTTTTTCAGGGGATTATTCTTTCTGTTGGTTTCCCTTTAAAACCCTCCCAAAGCGCGTTCTCAAAAAGAGACAGACGCCTTGAAGTCCCCTCTGAAAATAATCATCAGGAGTTGTTCTTTGCACTGGTGGCTCACGCATGCAGCTTCAATTGCCCTATGGCCAAAACTCCAAAGACGTGGGCCGTGGTCACCTCACAAAGAACTATTCATGATTGTTGGAATTCCCTTTGAAAGCATTAACAACTATTGCGCAAAAACTAACCATGACTCAGATATCTCCTTTAAAAACGGATTTGAAAGGCGGCAACCAAGAGGTGATGAGTCAAATGTTCAATGTGGGTTTCAGGCCTTGTATGGTTGAAAATTGTCCGTTACTTGTGGATGTCAGAGTTTGTTTTTTGTGTGACTACCCCGAATTCAACATGGCAACAGAAAGGTGATATTTAGACCTCTGGGGACAAAACATGTCTCTCGAGGGCCTCGCTTGAGTCCCCTCCCTCACGAAAGTGTTGGCAGCGCCCAAATGAAAACTGAGCTTTCATCATGGATGAGCGCCTTTTACCGACCAACTGTCTTGCCTTGATCACAGAGGCCGAGCCAATGGAGAAATTCACTGCCCCCGCCATGACCAGGAAAACCAGCATCACGTCAGATACCGAGAGCAGCAGGCAGAAGAAATCGAAGATGTTCCATCTCACAGGGCAAAGACTGTTGGCTACAGAGCTGCGTTTCAAAACTGGGTCAACAACAGTGACATACTGAAATGAAATGGTGGCTTCAAGGGAAACCCCCCGCAATGTCGTTTGGGGAACCCCTCAACAGTCTTCACTTTCTCCGGGGCACAAAAAGGCAGCAGTTTCAACAGTTTCAACATGCTAAAGACTGGTGCCAAATCAAAATTCGGGTCACTAATTTGTGACTCGCGAGGAGGAGCATGCCGACATCCCACGGTCTGCTGCAGGCTGACTTAAACTCAAAGCAACACGCACACAAGCTGAACACACAAAGAACAAACAGACAAAGAGACAAACAAACCTATATATTCTGACCAAACCTCGGCCGAACAATGCCTGCATTCAAACAGTCGTCGGCGGGCAATTGCAGTTTGAAATCGCCACACATCCTTTCCCTTCTGCCCGCTTTAAACATCCCGGCTCAACATGACCCTTTGGGTCGCCATGTTGAGTGAGCTTTCGTTTTGTGCAGGGCATAAAGCGGAAATATGGGTGTGTCCTTTTCTGAGGATACCGGTATTGTGGTGCTTGTGATGGGGAAGGGTTGAGACAACCCTAGGACACGGGTGGGGCCTTTTGTCGGCCCGGCCAGGCGCCTGGCATCCTGGCCGCAGAAGTAGCCTCTCAGGCCCAGGTGTCGAACCTTCACGTGGAACTCCAACAAGTAGCACAGTGCCTCGATCCGACCAAAAGACTGCAGGGGATGCTGAAATGTCGAAATCAAACGAGCCAGGTTTGATGGATAGCAATGGGGCGGTGGTTTTATGGATGCTAGCGAGGAGTGATCGTGTCTTGCATGTTCGAGTCGTTGCTCCGATTCGTTTTGACGTCGGTCGTCAAGTATGGATGCAAAGCGCCGGATTCCAAGCGACGCCCGCTTCGGATTTAGGTCAAAGCAGCATTGACAGCCACCCACGGCTTTCCCCAGTCGCAAAAGCCGAAAACAAGTCACAAGTTATTTAAGGACTCCGTTTCACGGTTGGTAGGCGTGCGACGCCTGGAGACGGTGTTCTCAGAAAGGCTTCCAAACCACCCCAAACAACCGTAGATGGACAAAATCGGCTTCGCGGTAGTATGGATGGATAAAATATCCATGAATACTGGTTGACAAACCACCTACTGGTGCCTAGCACGGATTTTGTTCATGGGTATGTTTGGTGTGGCCCCTCAAAACGTTGCTTTGTTGGCTCTTCCCGGCCGGGGCTCTTTGGGCAATAGGTTGGTCAAAGTGGTGGGGGATTGCCTAATCTCCTAATCCTAAGCAACCAGGCCAAATCGCTTCCACCTCCCAGGACATTCCCCAATAGAGGAAACTGTGATCCTAGGACCTCCGAACAGGTTCCATGCTGGTATGCTGGTGGCAACAGATCAAAGCAAAATTGCCACCAAGACTGGAGTCGTGGTTAGGAAATCAAAAAAGTTGTCGTTCGACAAATGTTCGGTCAAGAGCTGAGGTGTGGTTCATGTCGAAAGATTTGGATGTCACAAAACAAATCAGCCGCAGTAAGGTTCCATTTCGCCATTTCGGCAAAATCGCGGCTGGAGGCGATTTCGGGCATGGTGCCTGGAGAATCATAACATGCTTCTGAGAATGCCTGCAAATTCCTATACCAAAGTGCTTCAATCCCACTCCATTTCAAGAGGACTCCTTTGGAGTCAAAGTGGCAACCTTCAGCCCGAATTCTCTACAGGCAGATCAAAGGAGGGTCCTACCCAAACTAATGGTCTGTGACGAAAAGGATAGCCTGTTCTGGTTGATGATTTGCAGGGGAGTTCTGAGGGGTCGGACTTTTGACGCAAAGGCGGCACAAACCAAAACTGAGATTCCAGGGCGTGCGGATTCGTTGGCGTGTGCTAGTGGGTGGCGGGTGTGGATTCCAATGTGTCCAAACAGCTTTCACGTTTGGATGGCTTCTTCCGAGCAAGGTACGAAGAACAGCTCCAGGTACGCCCAAGCGGGACTCGCCGGGTAGTTGTCCACGGCGATACCCATGGCCAAGGTGTTCATCCTCCGACGCTCTTTGCACATAGCAAAACGGCCTAAATAAGTGCGCGGTAAATTCTCATGATCATGACTTAATTCGGTTGCCAAGTACCCCTCAACCCCGTTGCAATTAATCAGGACGGATAGTGCACAAAGACAGACACACCCCAACCCACACACATACACTGGCATGCGCACACGCACAAGACAAACAGGCACACGCACAAACGCAAACAAAGACATACACCGACGGAAATATTCAGAAAGAGACAGACGCGGACAGGCAGACACAGGCAGACACAGGCAGACACAAACAGACACAGACGAGAGACGAGAGACGAGAGACGAGAGACGAGAGACGAGAGACGAGAGACGAGAGACGAGAGACGAGAGACGAGAGACAGAGACAGAGACAGAGAGAGAGAGAGAGCCGCACACATACATTCTCATTCACGTGAGCATGCATGAAAAATGCGAGCCTCGCAAAAAGGGCATGTCCGACAACCAATAAGCCACACGATGACCACAATCAATTTCCGCCCAAAAGTATAGCCCCTTTTGGACCCAAACGCCGCCTTGTGCCCCTTGAAGGGATACAGAAAAGGGACCGCCAAAAAGATGTGGACAACCCCACTCATGTTCTACGCGTGCGCTTGCCACCGCATTTCCCTGACCCGCTGCCAGGTCCATGGAACCATAGACATCACCGCCAGTTTTCACTGAGCTTCATTTTGGGGTGATGTTTGGGACACAGAAGGATGTTTCAAACAAAAAATAGGTTGGTTCACCTTTAAAGCCATCCCCAGGCTCAAAATCCATGTTGAGAACCACCCAGGAGCCCTTTGCTGAGCCGCACGATGATGAAGACCGGACCGGTGTGGGCCACAATTTTCAGCACCTGCCCAAAGCTCAGCGCCGGCTTCATGTGGGGTCCTCGGTTGCAGTGACTCGCAACGGCGGCCGAGAATCTGGGTGGTTTTGGGGAGCGTCCTGGCAGACCAACAGGAAACCTACCTGCGGCAACCGCGCATTTTTCTGCAGTCAGATGTATCTTGGACATAGGGATGGCACAATATGAGTGTCCCTAGCCTGCACAATAAATGCAGAGGGCGTGAAAGCAAAACCACAAGGATACCAAGCACGATGCAGCACTCGCCGAGCAAATTCGGGCTGGACACGAAGCATTAGACACAGCATGTCCACCCAGAAATGCCTCCAAGCCTTTGGTTTGGGGTTCACCTGGTTCCATATGGGATATTAGGGTATTTGTCAACATTTGCATTTAAACCAACCATGAAAGCCTCACAAAAGAGGAGCCACTGGTTTGTCTACAACGGAAAACGAGCATTTTGGGGGTCCCCATGTGTTGCACCCCGGTCCAATCTGAGCTTCATTGCCCAGTGGCCAGAGAAAGATCCAGAGACATCCGACATCTGCCTCTCCTCCTTCTCCTCGCCAGGTTCTCCAGCCCCTCGACTCAGCTCCTGAGTCCGATCCCTTCCCGAAATACAGCAGGTTTTCTTTCAGTTCCGCGTTCTGCTTTATTCTTCAGAGTTTTCTATTTTGAGACAGACGCCCCTTCGCATGTTCGCATTCAACTCGCTCCTGGATGTCATTCGACTGATAGGACTCGCAGTCGGGGGGCGTGCTTTCCCTCAGCGCCACCGGCTGCAGCGGCGGCGCAATCGGCTTCTGGTTCCCGGGGGGCCCGCCGGCCTTCGCCCCAGTTTCGCCTCTGAGCGTCGCCAGCTCGCGCTCCAGCTGGCTTCGCTCCTCGCCATTGTGCTTTGAGCCAAAAAAAGACAAAGCAGAACACAAGGCAGTGGCTAGTTGGTCCACTTCGAAAAGGAGCTCCCCTTTGGCGTCAGAAAAACGCACTCAAAACCCAAGTCTTCCGGCAATTGTTCTCCTGGCTCAGGAACAGTACCTGGTGTTGGAGCTCCGTGAAGTCACCCAAAAGCGTCTCCAAATGCGCGTGGAACCTGCTGGCGAGTTGCTCCTGCCATGCTCGCTGTCCGAAACCAGGCCAACCCCTGTCGTGTTGAAACATCTTGAAATCGTTGTTAGCACGACCTCCTTCTCGTTCAACGCCCATCTGCAAAGAGTCACTGCAATGTTCTTTCCAAAAACGAAAACATGGCCCACAGATGCCACGCGGAAAACGCCACTGATAAATCCTTCTCAAATCTTGACGACGGCAAGCCAAAAGGAAAAGGGGTCCAGCTTCAGGGAGAGTTGTCTGACTTTGGGTTGACTTCCGGTTTGTGTTCTTGGTGCTGCTAGAACCGACTGAAAGATCGCCTTGGGCGAATAGAGGCTGACGGGCGTGGAGTTCTGTTGGGTGGGGCAAATGGCCCATCGCATGCTCATTTGGCTCAGGCCCCGTCTCCTGGGGCAAAACAGAAATCTCCATCGGCAGAACCGGAGGAGCGGCGCCGTTGGCCGGCCAGCTTTGGACTGCAAAGCAAGAAACTAATTTCCGCCAAAGTGGGTGCCCCTGCTTGGTTCAACAAGAAACCCGCATGCAAGGAAAGAGAAAAGGACGCTACCCGGATGTTCACAATGGCGGAGTCTAAAAGACATCGTCTTTAAGTTACGCCATCGAGATGTTGCTACCCTCCTGAGGAGGAAAAGAAAGTGTTTTTGCTTGGTTTGCCCTCGTTTCCCTCAGACACTGCGCAACAAGCAGTCCCAATTTGTTGAAACCTCGCGCATCCATGGACTTGTGTAAAAGACATTGCCAAAACACGTGGCTTGAGAGTGATGCCCAAATCCCTGTATCAACTGGGTGCTGCTCACTCGTAGCCTCCAGACCTTCTATTCCTTGCGAATCTGTAAGAGGCATTCTCCAAAAGGCTAGCAGATCATAAGAGTCAGGTCAGGTTTAGGGTTTGTACCCTGTGAGTCTGTGAGTATGAGGAATCACCTCCATTGGGAACGCCTGAGCTTGGAACTGCTCCTTGGGCCAGCAAGCTGCGCCAAATCCGCGTGCAGCCACTCCAAGCACCCATAAATCCCCTTTATATACCCTCCGAACAAAATTTGGCCTGGTGCAGAGGGCCCTCTTGGAAAACTACAATCCTTGTGGAAAAAGGAGTCTATGCACGAAACCCAGCTTGGTCGACGTGTTCTATAACTTGTATAAACATTCCAGTATGTATATATATATATATTATACCTGGGGCCTCCTAGACCTTTATTTCTGAAGGACCAAAAAAAAACAGGTTCTTGGCTCCGTATTCTGACCCTTTGGCTTTTTCGCTTTCAATGTTGCAAATTTGGGCAAATGCCGAATGACTTTTTGAGGGATTGATGCACTTGGCATACTGCGTGTTGGCCACCACCCAACGCTATCCTTTGGCATACTGTAGTTTCAGCCTTTCTTCAACGAATATCCTCTTGCACTAGTTGTTTGCTCCCGTTTGTATGTGTTGTTGGGTGTCCAATCGGTCATATGCCTCAGTTCCTAAGCCTAAGTTCTCGAACACGTGGCTGCAATGGGGTAGCAAACAGGCAAGGGCCTCAGGTGCAGCTGCTACATGGGTTGGTCTGTGGGCCTTCGTTTGAACAATAAGGATACCCAAAAAGCAAAAAACGTATTTTGAGCAAAAAGGTGTTTTTTCTTATTCATTTATTTATTAACAGGGCCGTATTCTCCCCCGAAATCAAGGTCGGACCAAAAATGAAGGACAAACCGGGGCCAGGTAATATATATATATATATATATATATCAGCGGCACAGACCCAAAAAAGAAAACGTAGCTCTCAGAGATGGCATCAAACCTGTCGATCTTCGGTGCAAGCTCATTGCCGGGAGCCTGAACAAACTGCTTCTCTCCTCAGGGTACCTGGTTGTCTGAAATCCTTTGTCACCATCTTCACTGCCGCTTCGCTCAATGTAGGAGATAGTCAACCAAGCAACAATTACAGAGAGAACCCTGTTCCCGATTTGCATTCTTTGGACAAACAATCCATCATAACCCAACAGCTGAGGTTCCGCTCCCTGAATGGTCTTGCCTTACGAGTCATCTGGCTATGAAGCTTAATGGGGAACCCCTGAAAAAGTGGTTTATTCCAGGGCTCCCAATTGAAGACCATGCCCATTTATGCATAGAAGCAGGGGAAGATAGGGACAAGTCTTGCCCACAAAGGTCTAGCTGGATACAGTTGCAAAAGTCAGAAACCTGGGGTGGTTCCCTTTATCCTATCACTTAGGGTGGCCATGCGGGAACATGCAGAAAGGTGGTCTGGACACAGAACCCCGGTGTTTCCAGTCCACACAAATTCGGCCAAACCCGCCCCAGCCCCCCCATTCTTCGACTGCCTTTTGCGGATGGCGAGAAGTGTTGATGCGACCCATGCGATTTCGATTTCTGAATCGCGCCTCTTCACGATTTGCGAAGGGCGGAAGCGCGGCAGGGCTTTGCTTCAGGAGAGCCTCCCCAAGCGAAGATGGCTCTATCTTTTGTGGTTGTGGGTCCTCAATGGAGCCCGTTTTGCGATATCCACTTGTTCAAGGGCGAGCTTCCCCTTTCAAGACGCTTGGAGTTTGCTTGTGCGGGCCAACTCCCTGCCGCGGGCCAATTCTCGCGTGCTGGAACTCCAGCCATCTACAGCATCTCTTCCCCTGCAATTGGCGCGGAACCCACATTTGTAGGTGCATTTCCTAAAAGGATACTCCTCCACAACTGAGTTCTGGGGGTTCCACGTTAAACTGCGAGGGAGTCATCAACGCAAGCACTCCGATTCACAGATGTTCAGCTTCGCGATGCCAACTACAATAGCGCTGGATAAATCAATTGAAAACGGACATTTTGGTGGATATCATTGGCATGGGGATGCAGGTCCACTAACCACTTTGAAGGGTGTTCCCCACTTACATGCTCAGCCACCTCAGATACACTGACCCACTGGATCTGCTCCGATAACGACACGCTCAGCAACATTCGCCTTGGAGAATACCGGTTGCGAGACGAAACCTGTCAAGATCTCCATGTCAACGAGTCAAACCACTCTTAGTGCCTTAGTGCCTTGAGTCTTCGAAAACGCACCGCAACTCGGGGCGTTTCGACGCCATCGCCAGCCAAAGGGCCCTGCGGCTCCTGAGCCTGGGACTGCCTAGCATCGCAATCCCAAGGACTCCGGACAAGTTGAAAAAATGGGAGCGGCGGTCCATGGTTCCGGAAGACCAGAAGTGGCCGGCCACCCAAACACGTGGCTTTTATGGAGAAATCGACTTCAAGTTGGCCCCTCTGGCCCCCTTGCCTGATGTACCTCCACTGTTTGATCAAAGCCCGGACCACATCCCATTGGGTACTTGTTTCGAGAGTGAGTGATTCTCAGGATTGGCCCACTTTACAAAAACCCCACGCAACTGCGTGCTTGCGGCAGCCTGGGGTTGGACGGAGCTCCACTCGCGCCTGCCTCAACATACGCAACCCACTGATGCAACCCGATGGCCGTCGGTGATTCGGGGAAATGGCGGAAAAGTGATGGCAGTGACCTCTTTTGGAAGACCGTCCTTTTGGCATTTGGCCAAGACACAGAGAGAGAGAGAGAGAGACCCCATTGCTGCGCGGATCTAATTTCAAGGCCGCCGGGCCCAAGCGCTGAGCCTGGTTCCTTTTGGACGAAGGCCCTGCACTCATTCGGTGAGACTCCTCCTCTTGCTGGGCACCTGGGGCTGCTCGCCGTTGCTCAAGATCTCCACCTGCTGCGACACGTACCGGACCTTGAGGCTCATGGCAATGATGTCGCCTCATTTCGAACGCATACCAACCACCGGGTTCGACACGCTCTCGGGTCTTTTCAACCTGAAACGCCCAAAGAACGGCCGGAGCCCCAAGGCGGCCTGAAAGTTCTCACAGGCATACACCGGAGTGAAAGTAGATGGCGTGCCATCTACTTTCACCCGACACGCCAGCGACTTTCACCCCACTGTACTGGGTTGCTTCTCCCTGAGCAAAAAGGTCGACCACCTTCTGGCTCAAAAAATGGAAAAGCCCTTTGTTTCCCAACAGTTGGTCCAAAACGTAGCGATTCTTTGGATTCACACCAAAAATGGGCCGGATCCCCTTGAAATCGTTACACACTGTGACTTTCCCGCTCTGCTGACGGGTCGCCTTTGGTGACATGCCCTCGCATGCTCATGAGCCCAGAGATCAGCTCGTCGATGCTCAGCAGGCCCCCGCTGTCCGCGTCCAAGATGTCGAAGAGCTGGGTGCCTCAGCGCCGCGGGGCGATCAGCTCGTCCTTTGCTGCCCGAAGAGATCGAAATTCGGGGATTCATGCCCAAACACTTAGGTCGTTCCGAATGAAAATGCAGCCCGAAAAGAAAACCGCTGACCCAAATGGGTTTGTGCCATGGCCGAAAATACTTGGTCTCCTTTCACCACATATCATCCCCGATAGGTTGATTTGAGACAACTCAAGCACTTTCAGACAAAGATATCCCAGAACCGGTCAACATGTGCCATGAACGAGTCATGGGTTGCAACTCCTTTCAGGAAAATACAGGAACCCCGCTCTTCAAGGAGAATTCCCCTGAAGTCCTATCCGACTGGACACCCAGGAAACCTTTTCTGGCCCCTATCCCTTTTCCACCCAGCTTGTACAGTTTCCAATCCATTCCAATCCCCATTCCCATCCCCTTTTCCATCCCTTTCCAATCCCAATTCTCTATCCCAGCCACTTTCACGGAACGAAAAACCGAGGGAACCCACCCTACGGCCCGACCATCCCTTTGCCAATCGTAGGAAGAACAGCCAAAATACCCCAACATTTTTTCTTCTCAAGTCCCAAAGCACGAGCCGGAGCCGGATTGGAGTCTTCCGATCTGAGCTTTGCGCGGATGGAGGTGTCCACGGAGGCGCCCTCCAAGGTCTCCACGAAGTCCTCGTGGGCCAACCACTGAGCGAAGCGGTCCCGCGTCCTCAGCCGGGGACCGGTCACTTGAGCATCGCGTTCGCGTCGCGCTCGAGTCGCAAAAACCGGAATATAGATGTGGGAAACTCCAGTTCTTTATGCACCCCAAGCAGATATCAAGCAAAGCACACCCATTTCGGTGCCCTCCCAGGAAGGTGCCAGGGAAGGAGTCTCTCAAATGGTTTCCACTACCAGGGGTTGAGCGGGACAACCATACGATGCCACCATGTATGTATAATGTGTATATAAACGGTAGATACCACGCAAAGGTGGTTGCTTTGCCGCTGGATGGGAGGTTATTCATCCAGGGTCAACTTTCCAGATGCCAAGAACGTCAGGAAGCTGGAAAACTTGAGTCTGGCGGAAAAATGATACAACATTGCTCGTTTGTTGGGTCCCGCAGACCCCTTTTTCGTTGAGTGAGCTTCTTCTTTTTTACGGGGATTTGTTTTCCACCTCAACGTGTTGTTTTTCGCACTGCGTTCCGGCAAGCAGGGAAACGAGCAAGCTAGCAAGCAAGGAAGCAAGCAAGCAAGAATGCAACCAAGGGATATGGTCGTCCAGGGACCCAGTTGGAGTAAGGGAGGGAGGGAGGGAGGGAGGGAGGGAGGGAGGGAGGGAGGGAGGGAGGGAGGGAGGGAGGGGTTAATTGCTCCAGGGAAACCTGCAATAGGGGGGAGTATGTGTGTGTGTGTGTGTTTCTTTTAAGGTTGGACCCTCAAAACTACACAAAAGGAGACCCTCTAACAAGACATACCCATGGCATGCGGGTTCTCCTTGGGTTCAAGGTTGGTTCCTTTGAGAGACCTACATTTTTGCACGGTTTGCCAGCGGCTTGGTGAATTATTTATTCCTGCTGGCATTCACGATAGACAAAGGTCATCTTCGAAGTTGCATTATCTGCAAAGAAACAAAAACTGTAAAAGCTCCTGCCAGCTTTACTGGGAATGATTGTCCAAACCAATGGGGCCAAACCTGGCCCCATGCACTCAGGTCGACTTTATTCCTGGGATCCCACTGAGCGCTGCATGTTTCCTGGGTTATAAACTGGGTGTGTCCTTTTCTGAGGTGCCCTTTTGGGGTGGTTTTGAAGGAAAGCCAAAGGGCGGGGTTCTCCACCGTTGGGGGGGACCGTGCTTTAAGACAAGCCCAACCGAAAGCTTTGCTTTTCGGGACACTCGTCGCACGTGAATCGGCGATGGCTGGCCTTTAAGCCAACCAAAAGCAAAATTCGAACACCCCTTCTGGGGGATGTTTGCAAATCCGAAGAACAAGCACATCAACGGGGACCCTCTAACCAACCGAAAAACAGCCTCAAAAACAAAAAAAATGAGCAAATCAACTACCCCTGTAGGGAAGATCCTTTTCGACATGCGCAGTTTGCAGGCTCGCTCTCAGCCCCCGACACTGTGACGTCCAGGGTGGACAGCGACCTCTCCAGGGCCTGGCCGAGGTTTGTTAAAAAGGCGGGGAAAACAATCTCCAGTCCGTCTCCACCCTCGTGGGTTCCAAACTGAAACCAGCGGAACCCATCTATTTCCACCAAAACCAAACTGCACATCTATGGTTTTGGGTTCTTCCTTCGAAACTGGGGATAAAGAAAGGGAACATGTCAACCGGGGTGTAGTTCAGGGCGTATGCGAAGTCGCTGTGTTTTGCGGGTATTTGATCAACGTGTTTAAAGCCAAAAGGCAAACTGCCATTTTGGGGTCCAAGTCCCTATTTTGAGACATAGCAAAGGTGGGACCAAAGCTCAAAAGAGTATTGCTCAAGTACAAGAGCTGGATCAAACCTCATGCAAGCCAATCATTTAACGACACCTTTACAAGGCTTCGGACCCTCTTACTCTGCTGGATTTGAGCTGATTTGCGAGGCCCCAAAAAATGTATCTTTTGCTCGATCCAAACTTGCTTCGATGGTACGTGGCTTCTTCAAAATCATTGCCTTGGGCGCCCTTCGAGTTGCAGAACAAAACTGGGCACCCCAAGCAGTCGCCTTCCTTTTGGTGTTCCGTAGAAACAGTCCAATTTGAAGCCCCAGTGTCCAAGAATACTTCACGAAGAACCCCCTGCCAAAATGGTTGACGCGCATGAATCTGCGTGTAACCGAACGAGGCCCAATTGAAACTTATACCCAAGCCTTGACATGCACCTGTGTCCTTGTCGCCCACAACCCCGAGCCGTTCTCTCCTTGCAATCCTGTCCCATGGCCTTGGACTGATGCTTCAAATCCAGCATTTCCAGATTGTCCGGGATCACAGCCACTGAATCCTCATCGCCTCGATTCGAATCCTAACTCGCGGCGGCACTTGCTTTCAGCAATCCCTTGACATTGGCCCGTGAGGAACGAACTGCCGTATTTCTGGATATTCTCGAAGACCGCAGTTGTTGGTCGCCGTTTTTTTCAAAGTTCGCCTAAGGATATCTTCTGTGGTATGGGAAAATCGATGGCACTGGTAACCCGGCAAACAAAAAAGATTCCTATGGCGGACTTCTTCGACATCGGGGTGGGTGTTTTGTAACCCAAATAATGGTGATTCTGCTTGTGGTGTTCCTTTCGTAACCACGAAAACAAAGTACCCTCAAAACAGACACCCATAAGCTTGTTTTGATCTGACTCGCATTGTGCGGCTCAGGCTCTGATGATTTGTGCCACCGCGCGCCTTGGGCGACGCGCCAAGAGCAAGAGCAAAGACGGGAGCAGAGCTGGGCAAAGAAAACAAAGGAGGGACACAGAAGCAACAGGACGGAGGAGTGCCTCTCTTCTTTCGTGTTTCCCTGTATATGTTCTTCCTATATTTTCTTTTTTTTTGGGGGGGGAGAAAATTCATGCTTCCTATCTCAACTTCATTTCACAGCGATCCAAACCCCTACATCCTCAGCAAGTTTCCAGCTCCCTAACATCCCCGACTCCTGTCAGCGGCCCGTTGACGTTGGGGGGTAGCTTCCGGCGGAAAGTGGGGATGCTTGCGAGCAAGCGAGCCGGGCTGCCGCGAACGCAGCGCCGTTGCTCAAGCAATGTGGTTTTGAAGTATGTTCTGTGGTTTTGTTGGGGGCTTGCCAAGGGCAAAGCACAGAAAGGGCCAGCAAGCCCTATCCCAGTGGCGTTACCTCAGTGCACGCAGCAGGGCAAGCAAAGCACAGCAAGGCCCGAGAAAGCACAACCAGCAAGCCCACAACACGTCCACACAAGGTCACAACACGTGCCACATCCACAAGGCCACAGGGGGATCGCAGAGACTTGTGCATATCCGCCGACAGACGGCGTGTTGGACACAAAAAATGCTCCAGGGGAGGGGGGGGTTCCACGTACCACGCGGTGATTCGAAGACGCTTCACTAAATCTGTTCATTGCGCGGGCTTGCGCAACTCAGTTTGTCAAAAACATTGGGGTGTTCGATTCCCGCCGGGTGCGCTTTCGCATCCTTAGCAGCTCCAGCGGCACATCGCCAGCATCACCTGCATCATCCGCATCAGCGCCTGCCAAGGATGCGGATGATGCAAGTGATGCTGGGGATGTTGCCCATGCTGGTGAAGGAAATGAAGGGGGGAAAGGGGGAAAGGATCTCAACAGCGAAAGGATCTCAGGGAGGACAGGGAGAAGATCTGGGGGAAAGGGGGGAAAAGATCTTTGGGAGGAAAAGAGAAGTCTTTCTCGGGGGGAACAGGCCCTAAGGGGCAATGGGGGGACAGGATCTCAAACGGGAAAGGGGGAAAAAGACTTTGGGAAGAGAAGGGTGGAGATCTTGGGGGGAAAAGGCCTTAGGTGGGAAACGGGGGAAAAGGGAGACGAACTCAGGGAAAAGGACTTAGGGAGGAAAGGGGGGGAAAGATCTTTGGGAGGAAAAGGGAGAAGAACTGAGGGTAGGAAAAGGCCTTAGGGGGGAAATAAATGATCTCAACAGGGAACTGCAAGGAAAGGCAGAAGATCTGGGGCAAAAGGGCCTTGGGGGGAAAGGGGAGAAATCTCAACAAGGAAAGGGGTGGAAAAGATCTTAGGGAGGAAAGGGAGAAGATCTTGGGAAAAAAGGCCAACAGGGAAAGGGGGGAAAGATCTAAGGAAGGAAAAGGGAGAAGCTCTCAGGGGGGGAAAGGCCTTGGGAGGGAAAGGGGGGAAAGGATCTCAACAAGGAAAGGGTGGGAAAGATCTTAGGGAGGAAAGGGGGGGGAAGATCTTAGGGAGGAAAGGGAGAAGATCTGGGAGAAAAGGACTTAGGGGGGAAAGCCCAACAGGGAAAGGGGGGAAAAGATTTAGGAAGGAAAAGGGAGAAGCTCTCAGGGGGGGGAAAGGCCTTAGGGGGGAAAGGGGGAAAAGGATCTCAGCAGGGACAGGGAAAGGGGGGGGGGGAAGATCTTAGGGAGGAAAGGGGGAAGATCTGGGGACAAAGGCCTTAGGGGGGAAAGGGGGGAAATGATCTCAACACGGAAAGGGGTGGAAAAGATCTTAGGGAGGAAAGGGAGAAGATCTGGGGGAAAAAAGGGAAACAGGGAAAGGGGGGAAAGATCTAAGGAAGGAAAAGGGAGAAGCCTGAGGGGGGAAAGGGTGGGAAGGATCTCAACAGGGAAAGGGGGGAAACAATCTTAGGAAGGAAAAGGGAGAAGATCTGGAAAGGCCTTAAAGGGAAGGGGGGAAAGGATCTCAACAGGGAAAGGGGGCAAAGGATCTTAAGGAGGAATAGGAAGAAGATCTCAGCGGGGGGAAAGGCCGTAGGGGGGAAAGGGGGGAAAGGATCTCAACAGGGAAAGGGGGGGAAAGATCTCAGTGAGGAAAGGGAGAAGGTCCCAGGCAGGGAAAAGGCCTTAGGGGGGAAAGGGGGAAAGGATCTCAACAGGGAAAGGGGGCAAAGGATCTTAGGGAGGAAAAGGGAGAAGATCTGAAAAGGCCTTAGGGGGAAAAGGGGGAAAGGAGCTCAACAGGGAAAGGTGGGAGAAGATCCTAGGGAGGAAAAGGGAGAAGATCTCGGGGGGAAAGGGGGAAAGGATCTCAACCAAGGGAAAAGATCTTGGGGAGGACAAGGGAGAAGATCTCAGGGGGGGAAAGGCCTTAGGGGGGAAAGGGGGGAAAGGATCTCAACAGGGAAAGGGGGCAAAGGATCTTAGGGAGGAAAAGGGAGAAGATCTTGGGGGGGAAAACGCCTTAGGGGGGAAAGGGCGGGAAAGGATCTCAACAAGGAAAGGGGGGAAAAGATCTTAGGAAGGAAAAGGGGGAAGATCGCGGGGGGAAAAAAGGCCTTAGGGGGGAAAGGAGGGAAAGGATCTCAACAGGGAGAGGGGGGAAAACATCGTAGGGAGGAAAAGGGAAAAACTCAGAGGGAGAAAGGGCCTTAGGGGGGAAAGGGGGAATGGATCTCAACAGGGAAAAATGGCAAAAGATCTTAGGGAGGAAAAGGGAGAAGATCTCAGGGGGGGAAAGGCCTTAGGGGGGAAAGGGGGGAAAGGATCTGAGCAGGGAAAGGGGGGGAAAGATCTTAGGGAGGAAAGGGAGAAGATCTGGGGGCAAAGGCCTTAGGGGGGAAAGGGGAGAAATGATCTCAACAGGGAAAGGGGTGGAAAAGATCTTAGGGAGGAAAGGGAGAAGATCTGGGGGAAAAAAGGCCAACAGGGACAGGGGGGAAAGATCTAAGGAAGGAGAAGCTCTCAAGGGGGGAAAGGCCTCAGGGGGAAAGGGTGGGAAGGATCTCAACAGGGAAAGGGGGGAAACAATCTTAGGAAGGAAAAGGGAGAAGATCTGGAAAGGCCTTAAAGGGAAGGGGGGAAAGGATCTCAACAGGGAAAGGGGGCAAAGGATCTTAAGGAGGAATAGGAAGAAGATCTCAGCGGGGGGAAAGGCCGTAGGGGGGAAAGGGGGGAAAGGATCTCAACAGGGAAAGGGGGGGAAAGATCTCAGTGAGGAAAGGGAGAAGGTCCCAGGCAGGGAAAAGGCCTTAGGGGGGAAAGGGGGAAAGGATCTCAACAGGGAAAGGGGGCAAAGGATCTTAGGGAGGAAAAGGGAGAAGATCTGAAAAGGCCTTAGGGGGAAAAGGGGGAAAGGAGCTCAACAGGGAAAGGTGGGAGAAGATCCTAGGGAGGAAAAGGGAGAAGATCTCGGGGGGAAAGGAGGGAGAAGATCTCAGGGGGGGAAAGGCCTTAGGGGGGAAAGGGGGGAAAGGATCTCAACAGGGAAAGGGGGCAAAGGATCTTAGGGAGGAAAAGCGAGAAGATCTTGGGGGGGAAACGCCTTAGGGGGGAAAGGGCGGGAAAGGATCTCAACAAGGAAAGGGTGGAAAAGATCTTAGGAAGGAAAAGGGGGAAGATCGCGGGGTGAAAAAAGGCCTTAGGGGGGAAAGGAGGGAAAGGATCTCAACAGGGAGAGAGGGGAAAACATTGTAGGGAGGAAAATGGAAAAACTCAGAGGGGGGAAAGGGGGAATGGATCTCAACAAGGAAAATGGCAAAAGATCTTAGGGAGGAAAAGGGAGAAGATCTCAGGGGGGAAAGGCCTTAGGGGGGAAAGGGTGGAAAGGATCTGAGCAGGGAAAGGGGGGGAAAGATCTTAGGGAGGAAAGGGAGAAGATCTGGGGGCAAAGGCCTTAGGAGGGAAAGGGGAGAAATGATCTCAACAGGGAAAGGGGTGGAAAAGATCTTAGGGAGGAAAGGGAGCAGATCTGGGGGAAAAAAGGCCAACAGGGACAGGGGGGAAAGATCTAAGGAAGGAGAAGCTCTCAAGGGGGGAAAGGCCTCAGAGGGAAAGGGTGGGAAGGATCTCAACAGGGAAAGGGGGGAAACAATCTTAGGAAGGAAAGGGGGGGGGAAGATCTTAGGGGGGAAAGGGAGAAGATCTGGGAGAAAAGGACTTAGGGGGGAAAGCACAGGGAAAGGGGGGAAAAGATCTTCGGAAGGAAAAGGGAGAAGCTCTCAGGGGGGGGAAAGGCCTTCGGGGGGAAAGGGGGAAAAGGATCTCAGCAGGGAAAGGGGGGGGGGGAAAGATCTTAGGGAGGAAAGGGGGAAGATCTGGAAACAAAGGCCTTAGAGGGGAAAGGGGAGAAATGATCTCAACAGGGAAGGGGTGGAAAAGATCTTAGGGAGGAAAGGGAGAAGATCTGGGGGAAACAAGCCCAACAGGGAAAGGGGGGAAAAGATCTTAGGAAGGAAAAGGGAGAAGCTCTCAGCGGGGGGGGAAAGGCCTTGGGAGGGAAAGGGGGAAAGGATCTCAACAGGGAAAGGGTGGGAAAGATCTTAAGGAGGAAAGGGGGGGGGAAGATCTTAGAAACGAAAGAAAGACGATCTGGGAGAAAAGGACTTAGGGGGGAAAGCCTAACAGGGAAAGGGGGGAAAAGATCTTCGGAAGGAAAAGGGAGAAGCTCTCAGGGGGGGGAAAGGCCTTCGGGGGGAAAGGGGGAAAAGGATCTCAGCAGGGAAAGGGGGGAAAGGATCTCAACAGAGAAAGGGGGCAAAGGATCTTCGGGAGGAAAAGGGAGAAGATCTGAAAAGGCCTTAGGGGGAAAAGGGGGAAAGGAGCTCAACAGGGAAAGGTGGGAGAGGATCCCAGGGAGGAAAAGGGAGAAGATCTTGGGGGGAAAGGGGGAAAGGATCTCAACCAAGGGAAAAGATCTTGGGGAGGACAAGGGAGAAGATCTCAGGGGGGGAAAGGCCTTAGGGGGGAAAGAGGGAAAGGACCTCAACAGGGAAAGGGGGCAAAGGATCTTAGGGAGGAAAAGCGAGAAGATCTTGGGGGGGAAAACGCCTTAGGGGGGAAAGGGCGGGAAAGGATCTCAACAAGGAAAGGGGGGAAAAGATCTTAGGAAGGAAAAGGGGGAAGATCGTGGGGGGAAAAAAGGCCTTAGTGGGGAAAGGAGGGAAAGGATCTCAACAGGGAGAGGGGGGAAAAGGAAAAGGGAAAAACTCAGAGGGAGAAAGGGCCTTAGGGGGGAAAGGGGGAATGGATCTCAACAGGGAAAGGTGGCAAAAGATCTTAGGGAGGAAAAGGGAGAAGATCTCAGAAGGGAAGGCCTTAGGGGGGAAAGGGGGGAAAGGATCTGAGCAGGGAAAGGGGGGAAAAGATCTTAGGAAGGAAAAGGGGGTAGATCGCGGGGGGAAAAAAGGCCTTAGGGGGGAAAGGAGGGAAAGGATCTCAACAGGGAAAGGGGTGGAAAAGATCTTAGGGAGGAAAGGGAGAAGATCTGGGGGAAAAAAGGCAAACAGGGAAAGGGGGGAAAGATCTAAGGAAGGAAAAGGGAGAAGCTCTCAGGGGGGGGGAAAGGCCTGAGGGGGGAAAGGGTGGGAAGGATCTCAACAGGGAAAATCTTAGGAAGGAAAAGGGAGAAGATCTGGAAAGGCCTTAAAGGGAAGGGGGGAAAGGATCTCAACAGGGAAAGGGGGCAAAGGATCTTAAGGAGGAATAGGGAGAAGATCTCAGCGGGGGGAAAGGCCGTAGGGGGAAAGGGGGAAAGGATCTCAACAGGGAAAGGGGGGGGAAGATCTCAGGCAGGAAAGGAAAAAGATCCCAGGGAGGAAAAGGCCGTAGGGTGGAAAGTTGGGGAAAGGGAGGAAAAGGGAGAAAATCTCAGGGGGGAAAAGGCCTTAAGGGGGAAAGTGGGGAAAGGATCTCAACAGGGAGAGGGGGGAAAACATCTTAGGGAGGCAAAGGGAAAAAATTAGAGGGAGAAAAGGCCTTAGGGCGGAAAGGGGGAATGGATCTCAACAAAGAAAGGGGGGCAAAAATCTCAGAGGGTAAGAAAGCAGGCCTGTAATGTCGGCCTGAGCCGGAGGCGTTAAAAATATATATATATATATAGAGATATAGATATATAGTCAGTGGCTTCCCCTTAGTCTCGTGAAAAAGGCGTCATGTTCCAAATGGCTAAGTTGGCTAAGCTTTAACAAGCTTCCTTCAAGGATTAATCCCACCCAAACGGCCACCTGCTTTACAAGCGGATCTTGTACCGGCGATTGTCCACTTGGCTGAAAACATGTTCTTAAGCTGCCAAAAAGATACGACATTGAAAAACTACCCATGGTCAACTTGGGCTACGAATATTTCTCTCGACCCCCTTTCTTCTCAGGGTTCAGATCTACAAGCTCCGGTCTATTTCCCCGTTAAACATCATGCCAAAAAGGAAAATCGTTCAAAGGCGCCGGCGGATTAAGATGCGATGTTCAAACCGTCCAAAAATGGAGCTGGACTCTTTTTGGATGGAAAAGGGAAACCAAGAGAACCGTTTCTATTTTGAGACAAACATATCTCCGGCCTCAAGTGCCTGATGAAAAGCCGCGGCGCTTGATGGCCACCTCCGACTTCAGAGCGCTCTCCGCCAGCTCCTTCTGCTTCCTCAAGGTCTGCTCGCTGACCACCTCGAACGCGCACGCGGAGGCAGGTATCACTCTCAACGAGATGCAAAAGCCACCTTTTAGCTGGCACAACCATTTTAGGGACCCACACCCGTGTTGTCCACGCATCCAAATATCCCTATATCAAGGTCCGAGAGTCTTAAGCGAGACAGGCGCTTGTCGCATAGCCTTAATATCTGCAAGTGCGCAGTTGACTTGTCGCCTTACCCAGGCCCTAAACTAATGTTTACATTGGCTTGGGGATTTGAGCCCCAAACCACCCAAGAGGGATGAGCCGGTCACACAGCATATCTTTGATGGCTCCAGACTATGTAACACATGTGTGGCATCGCTTCTCAGAAAACTGGAAGGTTCTGATTTGTTTTTAGATCTTGCTGTCATCGCACACACGCGCAAGACAAACGCTGTCTGCTCAATACAGGGGAAATGTGCAAAAGGGAACTCGGAAGCGGCTGGGCGTACATGTCACGCGTGTGACAGTGGCCCGGCGGGGTCCAAGCTAGACACCCCCTGTCGCAACTGTGAAAACACAAATGCACACCGCGTTCTGTCCACCAGCGCGCCATCTGCCAAAGCAAGAGGAGGGAGCTTCCAAAAGCTCCCGCTGGGGCTTGCACATTGTCAAGAAAGATCGCCATGATCAGATTGAAGATGCCCACCTTGACTGGCAATTGGATGCCAAACACCGATGGCTCCGGAAAAAGCGGCTTATGACATAGCATGTAAGGGGAAAAAATGACTGCGATCAAGCTGAGCTGCCGAGACCAGCATAAACACCAGGATGTAGCCAATCATGAAAAGGCCTGCAACGGCGCAGCGTTTTGAGACTCGTGAAGCAAACTGAAAAGAAAAGTGCTCAACGTCGTGTCAGCGCTGCTCGTGCAACAATATTTCTTTGCAGCTTCATTGCGACTGCCATGAAGTTCAATCACATTTTCCTTGAGCAGAAAAATAGGGGCACTCAAATGGGCGTTGGCATTTTGCTCGGATTGACCTGCCACGTTCACTAGCTAAGGCTCACTAGCCAAAAGGGGTACGCTCCTCTGGCCGCATGACCAATACTGGCAAATGGTTAGTTACGCGCTGGTCGATTGCAGTATAAAACCTTCTGCCAGTAGCTCAACACACTCACACACAAACCGAGCACAGGATCCGCTTCAAGTGTTCCGCGCTCCTGTGAGAGCAGCGCAGCCCACGCAAAGCCCACCGAACTCCTTATGTGTTGACGGATGCAATGTGAGCGATCGAGCGCAGCCAGTGTCCGCAAAGGATTCGCTTTCAAACCGAACGCAGCCACAGTCCGCAGAGAGTTCGCTTTCCAAGTTGCGACCTCGTCAGAAGAATCGCACTGCTCCAAGGTGAGAGCGATCGAGCACACCAAACGCAGCCAAGGGCACACCAATCGACTGTGTGGTGCATTCGCACGGCACCACAGCAAGAGCACACTTTCGAGCGACGCATGGCCCCCTCAGATCTTACGAGCCAGCACGAGCAAAAAATTGCCAGGGAACTCTTTACCCTTCAATCCAACTCTGCATCATGCTGTGACGGGCGGCCTTTTCAGCTGTCCAGTCGCCGACGGGGCTTAGCTTGCTTCACTTGTCACCCTGCCCAGGGTGTGAACTGCACCCCTTCGCGCCTTGGCTGATTTATAGGAATTCGAAAAGCGCAGGGAACCCACTCCCGGGCATTTTTGCGGGAGGCAGCTGGCCAAAAAAGAAAGGTCGACCAACCAACCGACCAACCGACCCACCACCGAATAACCGACTGACCAACAACCCACCCACCAACTAAGGACAGCCAGCTAGCCAACCAGAGCCATGCCCGCGTCACCACCGTTGCTAGGGCCGGTAAAGTCACATCCTGAACATTGCCCTCCAAGTAGCTCAAAGGAAAAAAGCCCAGAGTTTATTCCCTGCGTGGTTTTATGGGAAATCACCCTGCACAGGAATTGAACTCTACCCCGGGTCTGCCTCCAACATCCTGGAAGGTGCTCTTACGCAGCCTCTCCGGGAGAGGTGTGCCATCATATGCGTTGCCTCGCGACATTGGCAAAGGGGACGCTAACCTCCATTCGTGGGGGAGGGGGGGGGGGGGAGGGGGGGGTGAGGCCCACTGCCCCAGGTGCCTATCCCGGACGGAACTGGAACCCTGTGGTAGTTGAGGTCATTGTTGGTGTCTGGATCTATTCCGGAGAGAGTCCAATATGCCAGTAATGGATGATTGGAGGATGGATTGTCCCTGGTGGATTGTCTTGTGGATAATCCTGTAAGCGGCCTGCAATGGCTCTTTTGTCTTCACGCTCGGATGGTCGTGATTCTGCAAAAGGGGCCCTTTGGCTCATGTTGCGGGAGATCAATGGTCTGAAAAACAGAACACAAAACAGACACAAATTTCTTTTGATCTCCAGCACAAAGTATGAAATACTATTGGCTTCATGGCCTTTGACCGTAGCCTTGATGTGTGCCGTAGCCATGTGATTACAAGTGCCGGATTCATCCTTTTTCTGCTTGGATGAAATGTCTTGGCCTTCGAAATGGGAAACACTACGTGCTGCTTCTTTTTGGATACCTAAATGTATCAAAGGGTGATGTACAACGCTATGTACACGCGGAACGATTCTGAAACTATTGATCTCTCACTCATGGTATAGTCTTGTAGACGACGAGGATCAACCATCTGGATTGTTCGTGGTGCTGAACGTATCTTCATGGTCAGTCGGATCGACGATACCATCGGCGGCTGCTGTCGGATTGACTGCCATGGTCCCCATAATCATTCCAGGTCGAAGTGCTATAGTCCTTCCACTGCTTCTGATGTCCCCACTGCTTGTTGTAGTCCTTGTACTCCTGCAGGGTCCAGGATGATTGCTTCTTCTTGATGTAATCCTGGTATCTCTCAGAGCTGCGTTTACTGGTTGCAGATTTGCTGCGGATGTAAACCATGAGAGGACTGTGGGAGTCGGAGTCCTGCGAGCCATTCATGAACATTTCATTGTTCACGTGCTTGTAGCGCTCTGCGGATGAGACCTGGTAATCGAATATGGCCTTGGTTGGATGGTTCCGCATGAATTCCAGTTGTTCATCATCCATACCGTTCATCTCGTCCTTCCGGAAATCCTGCTGGATGTTCGTTTTGCCCCATCCAAATACGATAGTCATCATCACATCTGGGAATGTTCGATCAAATCCTGATCCGCATTTCATGTACAGGTGATGACGGACAATGGATTTCAGGGTACACGAAGTCTCCATTGCATACTCCATTCTGTCCACGAGTGGCAAATTCTTCGTTTCATTCCACAGTCTCTGATATGTCCTCATGAGGATGTTCACGAGACCGTTGGTCGAATTGTAGACGTGCTGGAGTTTGCTGTAGGTGTTCGCTGATTTGTTGGCGTCTCCGGTGATCGCATCGCATCGGTACAAGGTCACGAGCGGCATGATTTCATTCTGAAGATCTTCCTTTGCTGCTCCATGGCTAAGTGAAGGATGGATGTGGAAGACTCCAATGGTTGCGAATGGTAGATCTGCCCTCGTTATGTGGCGGTCGTCATACTCGTAGAATGACTTGTCGGATGATTTCGGGATCATGCCACGAAACTCATCACTCTGCTCGATGTGGAGAACGACGATCTCCTTGTCTCGGCCATGTCCTTGGACAATGGTGCGTGCTGGCAATCTCGATCCAATGTACTTCTTGGGTTCAGTAAACATGGATGTTCCTGTGGTTGCCAAGCAATCCGAGGTCGGAATTTCGTATTCGGGATCAGTGCAATCTCCTTTAGTTCCGAAGAAACATCTGAGCATTCCGAATGTGGTTCCCCAATTCTGGCTCCTGGTGGAAATGTGTCTTGCCAGAAGTTCCACTCGTGCAGAGGGTCCGCCGCGGACAAACCATGCGATCGGTCTGGATGACCATTGCTTGATCACGATGCCCTTGTAACCGTATCGGATGAACGTCTTGATGAGCTCCCTGGATTTCTCATCATTCGGACTGAAGAATGCGTCTGCTTCATTCAGGCATAAGATGTGTGCGCTGTTCTGCATCATCATCTTGACGATCGGCCGATCCTTCATCGGCATGTTGTGCACCTCCCTGTTGTCCAGCTTTGGATTCCTTGTGAGGTTTCCATGGTTCAGGGTAAGCATGTTGATCGCTATGGATGAGGTGAACTCATTCATGTTGAGATAGTCCACGGGAGGACGGTCAGTCGGCTGCATCAGCGATCCCAGGATATCGGCATAGGCTCGGATGATTTTCGGGTCATCATGTGACCTGAGCTTCTTCAATCCAAGCGGAAGCTTGATCGGATATCCGGATCCTGGTTGAGCTTGCTTGTACTCGTCAACGGTGGGACATTCTCCTCGATGAGGGAAGTAGAATTCTTCTTCACCAAGATTGACATCAGGATCGACATGTGCCAATGAGGCTCTCTCGCACTCTGTCAAGTTGGGATGAGCTCTTCTTGGATCTTTGTTGAACTGGTTCATGAAGCGGGTGAGGTTCTCCCTAGTCCCCGCGAGCTCTTCCTCTGCGTCCTTTTTGTTCATATCTGTTTCGAGATAGATTTCCTTGAGTTCTTGGATGAACTCATCTAGGTTCTCTGAATTGTGATATTCCACGATGACCTTCGGCTTGACGGATCTTTCCCCGGAGGGTTCCATCATTTCTCCTTCAGTGGAGTCCGGATCGGTGGAATGCCGTCTCTTCTTGGTCTCTGAGGAAGTATATTTTTCCTTGTTGTGCTTGGTGGAATTCACATAATTGAAGAAGGCATCGGCGAATTCGCGGATCTTGGTGTCGTACATCTCGTAATCTTCATGATCGAGATGCTTCTTCATGATCCACTTGTTGCTCGCCATGAGGCTGCCATCAGGTTCAAATGCTGCAACAATGTTTCTTGCCTCGATGGTTTTGTCTGTCAACGCTGTTCTCTCTTCGGAGAGGCGGATGCCATAGTCTTGGTCCTTGAGAAATGCAAGGATCAACAGTGCATCTCTTCCTGCTGGCACATGGGTCAATGCGGCTTCTGACTCATCGTCTTCGAGGATGACGTCATCGATGCATGCCATGTGGACGTGCATTCTCCCCGAAGGGTTTGACTGGGATTTCCCAGATTTGAGCCCGTGCTCCATGATGCTGTAGAGCTGATTTCCATAGGTTGCATGGAACATGAATGTGATGGGCTTCTTCGAGAACGGCTTGATCTTTCTCTCTTCTTCCATGGATGGTGGTGCCGGCCTTCGCATTCTGTACTTGGGCTGAGCTGTGCCTTCATCTCCATGAGGCGCCTCGGATCTTGACGGATGCGGACTTGGCGGAATGGATTCCGTTGGGAGATCATAGTCCGGTTCGTCGTGATGAGGCTCTTTCTGCTCAGAGTACAGGGGTCGTCCAAAGGATTGGATATCGACTTGTCGTGTGTGTCCGCTGTTGCATCTCACATAGAACTCCATCTCTGAATCAACATAGAATTCCTTGCCATCGGGCCTGAGTGCATTTTGTGCGGATCTGGTGTTGAGCTTATCGATCCATCGATTCCTTGGAACAATTTCTCCCCGTGCCTTGCGCTCCTTATATGTCCCGTCCACGGATGGAAATACGAACGCAATTTCGAAACGTGATTTTCCATAGCTCGGGAACATAGCCATCAAGAGAAGTCCTGGCTTATTTCCAATGAAGTTCCTGGCATGTGTGATGCAGGTCAATGCGTCATAGAGCTCGACGGATCCATCAGGACCCATTTCCACTTGTCGTTTGCATTCCTTATGGATTCCATGGCTTGGATCATGTCGAAGACATCCGGAAAACGATCTGCTCATTCTCTCAATTCGCCAGAGGATGAGATCTGTGATCTGTTTCGCCTTGGATGGATCCATGCGGAAGTATTTGCAAACCTGTTCGACATTCTGGACGGTCTTCTCGAGATCAATGTTGCCGTTGTGGCATACCATCGGGATGATGTCGGTTCCGTAAACTTCGGATTGAGCATTGGTGTAGCAGCAGATGCTGTAGACCTTCTTGATGAAGTCCATGTATTGCTTCTCTGCATGAGATCCTTCACCTTGGAGTGTTGGATGCCAGTAATCGTTGAATCTTGCCTTCAACCAGAATACCTTAACTCCATGTGGTCTCTCGTGCTCAGGAACGAAGTGGAAGTCCGGATTCACATCGAGGATGGTTGAGCATTCCTTGTAGTACTCGTGCACAAAACTCAGGAATTTTGAGTTTCCGAAAGGTCCTGGGTGTACGAATTCCTTCTGGAGGCTAATGTTCGTATCCGATCCATATGTTACAAACCACCGATCATTGGATGTGAGAACAGGCCGCATCACTGGTCGCCTTGGAAGTGCAGGTCGATCACCAGGATGATTGTCGGATTCCGTCTCGTCATCCAGGTTGTTCTTTGGTGCTGGCTTGGCCTTGGAGACAAGCCTCAATGTCGGTGGCGGTGACTTTGGAACAAGTTTCGGATGTGGCATCGCCTTTGACAAAGGCCTTCCTGCGAGAGGATGCCCTTCTTCATCTGAATCATCGTCATCGGAATCTCGATCTTAATCAACCTGCTCCATGTTGACATTCTCGGGTTGTTGAGAGGCGGATGGATTCTCATCAGCAACTTGCTCCATGGGGCAATCGGATGTCTCATCTTCCTCATCACGAGCAGGGGATTCCTTCAATGGTGATGCCCGCCTCTTGATCATCGGCTTTGGCACAGGTGCCGCATCGCCGGATCGTCCAAACATCAGGTTGAGGATGGGCATGTCAACGAGGTGATCGAGCATACAAGATTGCAAAGGTCGGATTGGTTGTAAACCGAAAGTGGCTGCGGAGGCAGACACATATTTCTTGAGATTCAAAATGGGTCAAGTGCAAACACGCGCATCACGGAATTGAGGAATTGAAAATATGCAAAACTGAAAAACTCATGCATCAGAATTCGTGGACATGCGGATCATGCCCAGGTTCCCCAATAAGCAAACATGGATTCTGCTATACCGACTCCTGCAAAGGCAATGATGTCGGGTCCGTGCTT